TAATTTTATTCTTTAAATAAATTTAATTTTTATTTATATATTTACAAGAAATGTGCATAAAAAATATTTTCCAAAAAATATTAATCTATTTTCAAACAAATATAGTGTTAAAAAAATTATTAATTACTTAATTTAAAATACATAACTGTAATGAAATATTAAACATTATTTGAAAGCTTTCCGAAGAATACCGAGATTTATGACACGTAAACAGTATGGATATTCTATAATTGATTGTGAGCTGACCATAGAGATAGTGATCGTAATTCCCGTCTGGTGTTTACAAAAGAGAAATGTTTTACATGATTCTCATTGCGCGTGATACAAATTTTAGACAAAGATCGAGTTAAATGCGGCATTGAGACATCTCCGAAAAGCGATGATGTACTCGCGCTAATGAATTATCTCTTCGCAAGATAAATCGCGCATTTATCACTCTTGCGTTTACATAGTTGGAAGCGAATCTGGCCGACTACTTTAATTATTACCGGATAGGCTGTTTGCCAAATAACCGTAAGATTGTGCATAATTGCGAAGAGTCTATAGTGACATTTAACTTGGCAATAATTTGCTGTGCAAGTTATAATCTAAAAGTATATCTTTGAATCAGCGCATGTACACATCTAACGGATTATCTCAATCACATCTATGCATCACAATTATAAAAGATGAAAATTTGTCTTTGTACATTTCAGTGATTAGTGACAAATCATACAAGCATGCACTTTCTGATGAGCATAAAATTAATCTTTTATTAGCGAAAATTTTAGATACATATTTAATCTTTAATAAAAAAGTGCAGAAATTTCTGAATGTTTAGGAGAATGTAAATAAATAACACTGCAATTTATTATACTGTTTTATATTAATTTATAAAAACAATATCTCTTCGATAAAAATCTTATAATGTTAATTAAGGTCTTTGGAATATTATGCAAGTATACATATAATCGATTTATGCAAATCAAATTTTAGTTATGAAATCGATAATAAAAACAGAGAATTATTTGAAAGGCATAGAACCACAACGCAAGATGTTAGACGCTATTATTTTATATTTCAATCGAATTACATTAATCTTTCAATTGATTTTACTTAAATAAACGTTTCGGTCTTCCATTAGAGAGACTATCTTCGGTATCAACATAATTTTCCTACGCATATGCGACAAACAATTTTGAATTTAAAACACGTTATATGGTATAAAATTGATCAAAATGCTTTTTGTTTAAAATACATGAATTTTTCTCAGAAGACCTAAATAAAACAGTGTCAATAGTCCAAATTTCGTTTCGTCTTATGCTCCAGTAGAATTTGTCTAATATTACGATTAATGAGATCATCCACGATTCGTCTTTAATTATTGCACACAAAGTTTCCTGATTCTAATAACATGAATGTTGTTAATTGATTGTACTAATTTAATTTAAAGACCAATAAATAAAATAATACCTGTGTTACAATGAACTTCCAATAATATTCTCAAGACGTGGATAACTATTCTTACAATTCAATGAGTGAAGACATAACGTTTCCCTCTAATCATGACAGACGCTTTATAAACACTTTACGTAGAGAAGAGAATAGAGAGGGTACCTCAAAAGTTATGTGGGAGAAATAATATTAAGTAAAGGAAAGTATATCTCAGATAAACCTTCAATATTATTTTGTTTGTTTATATCATTTATTTGTTTTTTTATAAATATCATTTCAGACGTAAGTCTCTTTTGAAAAAATGATTCTCTATCTAATATTTGAATATTCTCCCAGTTAAATTTGTGACCATATTCAAGCTGATGTTCTGATATTACAGTACGTGAATCTTTTAATTTTTTAATATTAGCCATATGTTCTTTAATTCTCGTTTTCATTTTCCTTTTTATTAACAACATTAATGTTATTAGAATCAGGAAACTTTGTGTGCAATAATTAAAGACGAATCGTGGATGATCTCATTAATCGTAATATTAGACAAATTCTACTGGAGCATAAGACGAAACGAAATTTGGACTCTTGACACTGTTTTATTTAAGTCTTCTGACAAAAATTTATATATTTTAAACAAGCGTTTTGACGTGATCAATTTTATACCATATAACGTGTTTTAAATTCAAAATTGTTTGTCGAATATATAATTAATATATAAATAATAAATAATTAAATTCAAAATTGTTTGTCGCATATGCGTAGGAAAATTATGTTAATACCGAAGATGGTCTAATAGAAGACCGAACCGTTTATTTAAGTGAAATCAATTGAAAGATTAATGTAATTCGATTGAAATATAAAATAATAGCATCTAACATCTTGCGTTGTGGTTCTATGCTTTTCAAATAATTCTCTGTTTTTAATTTTAACCACGTATTGACTCTTAGTTGTAGATAATAAAACTTTACATTTTTATTATCTAATAACATCGACGAATGCAAGTTAAGTGCATGCTAGTTATGAAAATCTAATCTCGAATGATAAAAAATTGTGAAGATAACATTAAGTTTTCGTAAAATCTATTTAAATTTGAACAAAGAAAATGATTTAAAATTATTTATGCGATTTGCAATTGTCTTCTTACCATATGTAGTTCAAAATTATGAAAAAAATCCACTATATACTTTTCTCCTTTTATGCATGATCGTTATTACTATATTATCTACACAGGTAATGAAGTGAGACAAGAATGAATTAAGACAACACATTTGTGAATTCTATATAAAATTGTTGTCTTGCCAAGAATTACTTCACTTTCCTAGCCATTACGACTATACCATCAATCATTCATGAAGATCTTAGCAAACTAAATGGTGATTAGAGCATATATGTACATGCATAATCCAAAGAATGCTTTTGTTTGGGAGACTATCTGAGGAACTTCTAAAAAAAGCAAATTAGAATCTTTTTTGTAATAAATCTAAATTATATAAATATTATTGTAATATATCATGTATTTGAAGAAACATGTTAAAATAAATAATGTATTAAAAGCTAAATAATAGTATCCAAATAGAAACGCATTAATATCTGAATTTGTAATTTAAAATTCACCCCCGGTCTATATTATACTTATTATACTTATTAGATAGTAGAGTTTTAGTACTTTCTCTAAAATTTTTAGAGTGTATCTTACTCTACTAAAAAGTGAAATCTTTTTTTTAAGACTAGCTCAATTTTCACTCTTTTGAGTTAGATTCCATTCCAAAAAATTTAGAAAATAATAAAGACATAATCATTACATATACATATATGTATATTAGACCATAATGTAAAATATATTTGTTACTGGACTGAAGATACTTAAAACGATCATTAAGGGTGCGATCGAGTTGCCGCACCGAATACTTCAACGTATTTTTGATTGGGCAATTAGTAAAATTCTTTCTTCCAATTGATTAATCAAATGCTTCGGAACATTCGTAGTAGCAACTCGACCACACTCTGAAATGCACAAATGCTTCCAATTCTGACATGTGAGCTTATTTACGCGCTATCGGCAACAAAGAGTGTGGTCACGCGTATCTTGTGACGATCCACCGAGGACAGACCATGTACGAAAATACATTTACGTGGAGCAAGAAGATAAATCGAGGTGGCAGCGAAAGATAGTCGTTATTTCGTTGACCTCCGTTCAAATTAGAATAATGTCGCGAAGTGAACAGTGGCTGGCAGAATGTAGTGAGAAATTTTCCCAAAAACATGTCAAAATATAAAGTTACCAATCTCTATTGTTACATTAATCGATAAATTTCTATTCAAAATGTATTATTATTTAAATAATTCGTTGTTGAAATAATAATCTTTTGTTCAATTTTTTGTTCATTACAAACAGCGCATACATAATATTTTTCCTCTCTTTATCTTTAAATTTCATTTTTGTTCACGCATTTATTTCTTATCTTTTTCGCAATCGTCCTATTGTACGGTATTTTATCTCTTGGAGCTCGAGGTTGTCTCATCTCGGGAATAATTGCCAAGCATCGAGTGAACGTACGTGTCTCTTCATAGCATGTCACACGTCGCGTGCGACATAGCACAACGAAAGTTCTCGGTCGAGTCCGATTTCAGCGGGGCTTCAGTTAAATTCGGATCCCTTTTGATCTGTAGGCCAGCTTATTTAGAATTTAGGTTTGCGACGGTCAACAAGAACTAGAATGGAAACTTCAAATATTTCGCGACTTATATGATGCAAATGAGAGAAGCATTATAGTAGTAGATAATTTTTCTTCTTATATGATTGGAGAATATTGTTAGAAGACTTAACAATAAGTAATTTTTAAAAGAGTTGAGAGAGAGAGAGTAAAGAATAAACTGTCATTGATTCTTCTAATTAAATTTCATTAAAGAACTATATTTCTGCATGTTTATCGCGTGATTACATCAAGAATTGTAAACAAAATTATATCCATAAAATTATATATTTTATTATACAAGTGACATTAAGAAGTAAAGAAGTAAAGAAACAAAGTGCGCAAGAGCGCAATCGTGGATATTATATGTTGACAATGCGAACGGAAACTGATCATTAACCGATCCTTTAAACTTTAAATCAAAGAATTTATTATTAGTTTTAGCAACTCTTCCTTTTCACATTTAAAATAAAAGTGATAGATACAATTTAATAATAATAATGACAATAAGTAATAATTGCATTTGTTAATAAACTGGGCAGATCTTATTTGTGGCTATTAAAAGTGCATACGATATTATATTATAAACAAATTAGTGCATGGTACTCAAGTAATGTTTAAATAGACGAGAGCTTTTATGGAGAAATGAATAGTGCAGAGCAGCTGAGATGAATGAACTTGAGGTTCTATAGGAAACAAGCTCGACGGATATAAATATAACATATATAATATAAATTTCATCGCCGCGACGTTGTTATCATTGTCATTATCGTCTGTACCATCAATGCTACCACCACTGTTCGAGTTCCTGTCCCGTACAGCGCTTCCTTCACGGCCTTTGTACCCTTCGCTCAGAGGGGATAGCCTAAGTTTAGACCCGGCAAGACTCTGGCCGAGTTCAGTGTGAAACCACCATCCTCGAGAATCAATTTCTTCGCGCCGGACGTGCTTTCCGCGTGCAAGTTTTGCGTGCGTTTTGATCGGCGAGAAAGCTCGTACGCGGTTCGGAAGAATAAAAAATTTTACATCTCGTGAAGGAAATTATAGAGAAAGATTATCGCGATGGCATACAGCTGGGATAATCGCGTTAATTTCATAGTGAAAATTCTGTATGGTTAGTAGATGCGGTGGATATTGCAAGGGTGGTCGAGGTAGAGGAGAGGACAACAATTAGAAAGACAATGTGATTATATGAAGAGACAGCGCATAAACACGCTACGAAATTACGAATTATCGAAAATTGGAAGTAAATGATGACCCCTTATGCAAAAATAAGTAGAAGTGTAAAATAAATAAATTTCTTTCGTATATAAAGCTTTGTTTTGTAAGACAAAATTCTAAAATTTGTAATAAAAAGTAAATCAATGTTTTTCATTCTATTAATTAATGAAATATCTCCTCTGTAAATACGCTTTGCATCGTGCAGCAAATGCATCCCCTTGCATTGTCTTATATATCTCGTGTGTTCCCTCTTGTGTAAATTTCGTGGAATGGTAATTGGTATAGTAGTATAATACGTATATAATAGGTGTCTCACAATAAAAGTGTTAAATAAACATTAGACAATAAAAGCGCTAAAGAAGAAAATGTAAAATATGATTTTTTTGTTATTTTTTTTTTTATACGAAATGTAACCATATAATTAATCTTTGAACACCACACTGGGTTACGGTAACCCAGTCCGTTTGAAAAAAACGCGCGGCGTTTATGAACGGTCTGAAGTATGGAGTGGGAGCAATGGGGAGAAAAAACTTTCTTTGCATTGATGCATTAGATCCCGGGATAAGAGCAAAAGAAAACTCCAGGATTACCGTAATCCATGTGTGGTGAAATCAGGTGGCGAAAATAGTGTGGTGTTCAAGGGTTGAAAGAAAAATATCTTTCTTTTTCCAAATATTTTAAATAGTAGAAATATATGTGATTTTTTTATAAAAAATTGATTCTTACATATTTAGTTATTTATTAAATTATTATTAACATACATATATATTTCTTTATACAGAATGACAAAAAGAATTATTATAAAAAGATTATGTGATTTTTATATAAAAAAAGTGCAATAACACATTTTATATAAAAAGATAGAATCATCAATTGATTATTTTAATTATTCTATGTATAAAAGTCATCAAAAACATTTTACTGAATATTCTATGCAAAATGTTTTATATTTTATATAATTTATATATATAATGTATATATTATATTAATGTATATTATATATAATGTATATTATATATATACAAAAAGTATAAAAAATATTTTTTGTATGTATAAAAAATATATACTTTTCGATAACTTATCTAAATAATTTTGTATGCAAAGTAATTAAAAATCGATTTAACAAGAAAATTATATTATATTAAGTAATTAAAAATTCTGAAATTCTAAATAATCTTTAAAAGAAATCGTCAAAATAATGGCAAACAACGCCAGCTTGTTTGCTGAGTAGGAAAAAAGGATCTTTGTATATTGTATATAAAAAATGGTAGAAATGTTTTGTTATATCTGTTCTACTATTATTGAGCAATTATTTTAATTTGTTCAAAAAATTAAACATTGATCATTTAAAATATAATATCTCAGTAAATAACCCCAACAGTAACATAATGTTATAATTTTACACTTAATAATGTAACTGTTATGTATAATATTTTATTTATATTTATATTGTTGAGTGTGAAATAACATTGATATTGTGTTAATTGATATTCTTACTGGGATAGGAACATATAAGCAGTTTAAATAAGAAAAAGTCGACTATAAATTAATCAGACATATTCAACAGTACAAATATAATAAGATAAAAATGGAACACTTCTGTTCGTAAAAAAAATCCATCAGTTCAAAATAAGTGTCCTTAGTGAAAAGAGCTTGTATAACTGCAGATATTGATAACAACGGATATTTGGACAAGCATGATTTCGAATGCATGGCATTAAGAATGACGATCATCGAAGGTAAAGGCGAGTTTAATTACAGTCGGTACCAAGAAAATCTTCATATCATGCTCTCTTTATGGGATGAAATAGCTGATCTGGCAGATTTTGATAAGGTATATCATTATTGTGAAAAATATTACCTAAAATTCAAATCTGGAACTCATTACATTACACGATGAGCGTCTAATTAAAATTATTTTCCAAATTTTGATTCGTATAATTGTTAGTATATGTATAATAGAGAATAAAAGTATATAAGTATTTAATAAAGAATAAAAAAAATTTAATCTTTCATAATATATTAAAATAAAAATTATCACTTATTTATATTATTCCTTTTCCAGAACGACGTTGTAACGATAGAAGAATTTAAAAAGGCTATGCAAAGTAGCTGTGTTGGTCGTTCTTATAACGATTTTCCTCAAGCTATGAAGATGTTCATTGATAGTCACTTCAAAATACTTGACATAAATGGTACTGTACAATATTTACAAACGTAGGGAAAACATTGGCCGATATTCATAGTCCATTCTCAAGACAGTCTTAAGTAATATCTTAAAATGCTAATAGTGGTTCTGTAATTGGTCTTTAAATATAAAAACATGGATCATATATGTATACCGACCATTGTGTAGAATAGTATTGTAATTAATAAATCATAATTTCTTTCTCTCTCTCTATAAAATTAGATCAATAGAAGAAATTGTTAATCGAAATTATTATATGAAATAATTAATTTATAATGTCTGTTCCAGAGGACGGCGTAATTGGAGCTGAAGAATTTCGATATGATTGTGCTTCAAGGATTGCTGTGGATAATGTAGACATCCTTGATAAAGCTTATCAAAGTCTTTTAAATGTAAGTGAAGTAACTTGATTATTTAATAAAATAAGAATGAAAACTCCATCAAACTCCTTTTTTTACACTTTCTTAAATTTATAAACCAATTTTTGTTACTTTAAAGAACTAATGTTATAAAGCGGTAATTTGTATTCACTGGGCGGCAATTTTTGAAACGTATTAAGTCAAGTATATTCCAATAAAAGATACGTGATTTTTTTATTTTATCGAAAATAAAAGATACGCAATAATAAAAAAAATACGCTACTGCAATTGTCATTTCATTAAAATACTTATTTTATCTCCGTTCCATGCAATTGTTCAAAATTCAGTAAAATTCTGAAAGATTTAATATAAAATCGTATACTTTTTCATGAGATGTGTATATATTAATTAAAAATTAAAAGAACGATCGTTTTAAAGTAGTACTTCATTACGTTAACAGGATGATGACAGAAGACGCGGTGGATTGAACTTATCACGTTATCAAGAATTATATGCGCAATTTCTCGGTAACCCTGACGACAATTGTCCAGCAATTTATCTTTTTGGGCCAATAGGACAAGAGTCATAACTGAAATACTCGTCGAAGCGATGTCAATCTTTATTATAAAAAGTTACCTTTTTAAAAAAAAAGATAAAAAAGGCTCCAAGTGTACGCGCTCCTCAAAAAATAACTGTTATACATAATTAAAAAAAAATAAAACCCAAGTGAGATGTATCTTCTTATTCGTATTCAAGGGTCTTCTTATTTCAATTCAAGCAGCAGTATTTTTAAATTTCATTAAAAAAAATTATATCACAAAATTGTGCCAATTAAAATAAAATTTATTTACATTATATAACCTAATTTAATTTAATCCAAATAATGTATGTATATTTTCGAATTTCCACTCAAAGATAATTTTATTTCAATCCAAGTCATAGTATCTTTTGTTTTAATAATTTTACCTAAACGTCAAAAATATATGTATAACGTAAAAAACTTGGCGCGGTTAAAGTTTCAAATATTTTTAATATAATAACGGTTTGTGCGTGTATATATAATGTATATAAATATATTTTACTCTGGCAGCGCCAAGTTCTTTATGTTAAATATTTTTGATATATACTTGAGTTGCAACAAAAAGACACTACTATTTAAATTAAAATAAAATTATTTTTGAGTGGGAATTTGAAAATAGATATATCTTTTTTAAGTTATTAAAAAATTTTGTATATGTATATAAACAATTTGTATATAACAACGTATTATTTAACGCTGATTCCCATTCGCCTAATTTATTATTTGTTTACTTTTAATTAATTTTGATTTTTTATATTTACTCCTAGTGCATTCACAAATTTTTGGGCGATACTGTATATGTGAGTGAACAATACAAAAATGTTAATTGCCACACACAGACAGTACAGATTCCCTGAAATATAATTAAACGAAATAATATAATGCAGTTAAGTATATGGTACAAATAGGAGAAAATTTATTTGTATTTATGTGACAACACAGTACGCTTTGTATGCTATTTGAGATGCTTCTCTTACAATTAGTTTTCTTTCCTTCTTTTTTCAGTTTATTCGTCATCATAATTTAATTTGACGCTTATATTTTTTTCATTTTTCACAATACTTTTTACTTATATCGAAGCTATGATATGCATTTTATCATATACATGGTGCAGTATAAATTGAAGATCATTTATTTAGTAACTTCTATGTCTGCCAATATAGTAAATTTGTACATTGTACGACATATATTTATGTATATGATTTGTAACATTTAATGATTTAACGCAGCCTCTCTTTTTTCATGTCTTATACATTTATCTGCACGCAAGTACATATATCGCAATAACAACGTGAGAAATATTAACAACTTTGTATCTAGCGAGTTCCTTTCTTTCATAATGGTACAGACTGCTTGATAAGTAGTACAAAAGTTACACTCGATATAAAACATTCAAATCCGTGAAAGATTTTTTCAATTGAGAAGCACATTAAACAACATATTGTTAGTAATTTATCTGCTAATTCTTGTTATGTATATTATACACAAACAAGACACTGTTGCAAAATTTGTTACATATATCGAGCGAAAGCGTCGTATTTTAGATGTAGAGAACTTACAGCCACAAGCGCACTAGTAAATAAAGTTGGCAAATCTACCCCGCATTGGGAACCTAGCAATTGAATGTAATATTCCTATTCTCTTCCACATTCAACGAAAACCTTACTATTCTAAATATTTGGCTAAATCATAAATTCACGACTAATCAATCAGTGATCAAATTTCTTTGGAATAATAGGATATATTTGTTTCAACTTAATGTGAGATTGTGAAGTTTATCAAAGAAAAACATACTTGAATACATATTTAACGATTCTCTCAATTTGTTTTAATTACAAATATAATACAAGCACATTTTAAACTTGCTAATTGATTGCTAGGATTAATAACAACATACATATTTTGTTCCTTTGAAGTTTTTGCTTACTAAGGATCATATAAAATCACAATTCTTTCACAGTTTCTATATGTACGAGGGTGATTCAAATATGAAAGACTTTTTGTGTGTAAATACAAATCAATATTGGTAGACGTATTTACATTGAATAATATATTTTTTTAAATTGCCTAAAAATGCAACACATTTTTATCTGAATTTTTAGATCTGAATGCCTGAAAGGTATAATTTTAGATATTCAGTTAATTATCAGAGAAGTTTCTGAGAGAGAGATGAGAGAGAGAGAGAGAGAGAGAGAGAGAGAGAGAGAGAGAGAGAGAGAGAGAGAGAGTTAAGAATGGCGCGTCTGTTCGAAATATTTAGGATTGGTGTCTAAAAAATAAAACATGTTTGAAAGCAACAACTATTTAAAATTTCAGATAGACTACGGTTTGATCCGATGCATGAATGTTCTCTGCGATTTTTTTGTTTTCGTTAGTCGATCTCTTCAATATTATTCTTTTACTAAAAACTAATTGTAAGCAATTTAATAAAATTTTATTAAGAAAATTGAAATTTTAATTATTTTGAGTGAAGTAATGATCAGGTAAAATACTTATCATGAGACCATTATTTTTATGGAAATTTTTGAAACAGCCATAACTCATTCAATTATTTCTGTTCTAAATGTCTAAGTATTCGGATATTTAAATTTGAATTTTTATCCACTCGTCATTAAGTCTGTTCCTTATTCCTGAATTGGTTGCACTTAGAGTTTATCTTTATCCCTCCACAAAAGAAAGAAGTAAATTCAGAATGTCTGAACTAATGCAGCAATTCAGTAATAAAAAGACAGACTTAATAACAGGTAGAGTGAAATTCAAATTTGAATATTTAGATATTTAAAATAAATATATTTAAGACTATATATTAACTAAAAATTAAGGCAAAAATTACTAAGTATTTAGGCGAAATATATATCAAGAAATATTTATACAACTTTGTTAAAAATTCAGACAATCTATCCGCAAATTCAGACAATGTGACTGTAAAAAAACTTCAACCACTTTTGTTTGAATTGTCAGTCAATAATTTTTTACAGTATAGGAGCTTATTATGATATTAAAATAAATAATAAAGTAAATACTATTGTGCAGCGTGTCGTTCAAGTTTTTTTTCGAACAAAAATGTTAAAATATTGAAATTTTGCGTAAACTACGTGTATAGTTCGGAAAAGAGACTATCGAAGGCGGAAGTACGCAACAGCACTCGGTGCTTTGATTGAACCGCAATGACTGAATAGAAGCAACTGCCGCGAGGTCACAACTATGTAAGGCGTGAACAGATATCCCCACCTCTAACTTAATGTAAACATATCTATTAATGCTGATTTGTAATCACATAAAAGTCTTGTTCGTATTTGACCTTCGTATGTACAACTATAGTATACAAATAATCTAATTATTAAAAATAAAGTAATTGAGTTTACTCACAGAGCTTTTAATTTCTTATTACATACAGCAATAATAAATTTAGATATTTTCTAAATATGAATTAATATATAAACCGTGTTACGTGAGATTCTGAGCTATATTTAGTATTACTTGTTCTATATAATTTAGTCTATTTCCTATGTAATTTATTCTTGTTCGTGTAAGATAAAAGAAATGGTTCATGCGTTTAACCCTCATTTTATAGTAGTATTTTAATCCCATGGACGATTATTTTCCTGTTTAATTTGAAGCAATAACACTTCTGCCGAGATAATTTTACTTTGTAATTTCTACAATAAGTCTGATTTATTTCAGTCATTTAAATAAGTGTACATTTACAGATTTTTACTTCTCAAATCTTATTGCTTTATTCTTTTATGAAAAAACATACATTTTTTGTTATAGCAAAGTATGATACAATTTTCCATGAGTAGTTCCACGTGCACAGACTACTAACCTGTTTTTTTTTCCCAATATCTATTAATTCTAATCACAAGAATTCTTACCTAACTTTTTGCATTATAGCGTTAGAGGAGTGCTTTATAAAAAGCAACAGAAAAGAAGCTATTTCTTAAATAGTTATATACAAATAATAAAGTTTAACCAACTAAAACATAAAACAATATTTAAAATAATATTTTAAAGATTTAATACGTGTCTTTAGTACGTGTCTTTAATATGTTTCTCACAAGAAGCTCCTCTCTGGTCTTCATCGATTCTGATCAAACTTGCAGCGATATTAAAGGAGATTGCAAAACCAATACTTGTAAAGCCGTTCTTTCGAATGGGCCTTAGAAGTTCAGTAATTAAATATAGATCCTCGTATGTGTATATCAGTATATACTATTATTAGGAACGGGCATCAACGATTTACCATGGCTCAGTTAAAGCGTTAAACTATGGTGCAGTAGAATGCCGGTTCGGCAAATATAATAAGTATTTATAATATATAGTGAATAACAAAGAGGAGCCTCTCCTTGTCAGATAATTTATATTGTCTGAAAATTTAATCGTATAAAATAGACAAAAAATCAGATATGCGAACTGTGAGAATTTTTTTCAAAAAATAATTTCAAAAGCTATGTAATAAAAATGTGAAAAAAATTTAAATATAGACATAATGTACCCCATTGATCCATAGTAAGCTAGCGACAAGGGAACAAAAACTATTACTCTCATTATTAATTGGCCTTAATTTAATATCTTAATGTTATAAATTTGGAACTTGGCAAAGCAAGACAATATTTACTTAAGAAATAGACAAAACGTACTCAAATCTAATCGACAATACTGATAATTATACATTTCACAACGGAAATTCAATCCTTAAGTAACATGGTGAAGATTCATAACATTCATACCATTCATGCCGAGAATATACATACACTCTCATACGCGTAATCATACCAATGATCAGTATGTAATAAATTCTATGATTTATTACTATCAAACATTCATTAACGGAATTCTTACATCCTAGAGCTAAAGATAATCATATAAAAAGTCTAGCTAGAATAATTTCAGATTTATTGATGTAAGATGAATGATTCGATAAGATTCAAATTAAATGGACTTTGATGAATGACTTCACCATGAAACTTATGAATTGTTGTAAAACTTGAAAACTTGATTCCTGATATAGATATCATTTGAATATCATTCGTTTTTGAGAATATCAATATCGATTTATGTGTTTATTTAATTTCACTTAACTTTTATATTTTATTTTAGATGTGGACGGCATAAGAATAATTTACTTAATTATAAATATTTAGTTGAGTGATTTAATTCTTCGTTTGCACACATCTTTCACGACTTTTCGTAGCACACAGGTGCGAATTCGCATCTGTAATTTATCATTTTTTTTTCTCATCTTTTGCCAACTCTGTCTTCCATTAATCTCGTTTCTCGGAATCCGTTGCGCGGAGTCCTCACTCTTAACAAAAATCCGGTTATCGACGTTTCTCGAGACAATATTATTTAAGAGTTATTTCTGTCGATCGTTTAAACCGCCTAACGACTTCAGTAAAGATCCCCGCGCTACTCGATTCGTTCGTCCTATCTCATATGTATCAAAATAATTGTATTCTGGGAACATCTTCAGTACAGATTGTAACGATGTAATTAACACGGTTATTTCGTTCCGTGTTGTATTGAAATCGTGTTCTCGGAGTGTCGTGCTATATCGAAACCGTATTCTTGTAGTGCCGTATAAGGGGAATTTTCTTTATGTTAATAAAAACGGTGTGATGAAAACAGTTGTGCCAAATATAAGAATTATCCAAGTTTATTAAGCTATATGGAAATCGTGTTACAAGAATATTCTGTTATAGGATATTCGCAATTTTTGCACCATGTATCGAAACTGTGTTTTCAGAGTACTGTGTTATAAGAGGGTTGAGTGTATTTAGTAATGTATAATAATGAAATTGACAAACGTTTTGGCGTCATCAAATAAACTCTTCGGGCCATCTTTAGTGTCCAATTATTCTTGTTTCAATCTTAACTATAGAATTCGTTTTAGGACTAATTATATAGCTATAAAAAATGCTGATGCGAATTCACTCACTGTGTGCTAACGAAGGGTTTATTATAATTCTAACTACACGAAATCCTGAAATTCAGTATTATTTTTGATATTATAGCTAAATTAAACCATTATTTTAGAAATACCAACTTCTTAGATTTAGATTTATTTCTCAACTGTTAATACCTTTAGAGCTTACTTATTCACACGATACGGTTGTTTGCCGAATTGGTCGTTCTGCCGGATCAGTTTTTTGTCTCTATAGTGGCAATACATTTTTTATATAGGAGCGTTTACATGATACGATTATCGTATGCGAGAAAATTATCAAGTCGAACACTCAGTTTTGTCGCTATAAACCATATACAGGATTCGGTAAAACAAATCGTTCAGATTTAGATTGATTTGCACCGATTCAGTCAAATTATCGGTAGTCAAAAACTCGTATTGTGTGAACGAATTCTTTATATTATATCTACATAAGTGATAACTGAATATCGATATCAGAAAAAGGATTCATGTCCAATTGCGAAATGCATTAAAAATAGGAAAATGCATTTTATATATCTGTCACGTTTTTTATACTATTATCGACAAATTTGCTTAAGAGTAATAAGAAAAACAAAAATTCTTCGTTCTAGATCAATTATATTCTACATAAAATCGATCGTACGTGATTAAGCGCTCGCGATTGCAAAACATAATTTAATTTCGAATACAGTCTGTGAGAGAATCTAATATTAAGTTAAAAAAAAAAAAAAAGAAAACCTTTCCTGAAATAAATATATTAAAAATGACGAAGACCTAGAATTATACAAATTTATTTACCGCTAAAATATAATGCCAGATATGAACATAGATGGACATGTTCACCAGTCTCGAAGAATTTATAGAAATAATTCGTATTAAACTTTCTGTATTTCGGAGGAGAGATAAACTTGTGAATCTCTCTCGGCTCAAGATAACAGATTCTCTCTATTGATAACTTATTTAGTAGATTAATTTCAGTCCTTCTAAGTACAAAAATTGCATTCGATTAAATCGGCAATGATCAATTCTTCGTTAGAATGTTACATGGTGATCAGTCACATCAATGGAGTTCACACTGGCGTAGGAAGTGGACGCGCGTTGTTGGTTGTCGTTTTGGAGTAGAGGAGAATCCGGCTTGTCACGTTTGTGACGCCTAGTTTCGCTTCCGCTCGCGAATTCGCGGGCTCTTCCACGCCTTCGGCGCGACATCACGCCTAAAAAAAAAAACATAAGAGCATGCTTTAAGTACTTTAAATCTCCACCCCTTCCAGCACAATCATCTCCCATCGCACTGTGTGATTCCATTGAAATCGCATGGTTAAGATTATGTTGCTGTGCGTTACATTGATGGATACAAACTACTTCTTTTTGCGTAAGTGTAATTTTCTAACATTTCTATGTGTTTGTAACATTTCTATTTCTATTTCAATACGTACAAGAAGCAACTCATTAATTACAACAAATACAATATATTTCATGCAATAACGAGTATGTTCGTATTTGTGTAAAATATATTAATTCTTCAAACATTTCTTCAAGTAATAAGTGTGACGATACAATTTACAAAATATAACATATATAACATTTTAAAATTTCGAGAAATTCTTTAAAAAATGTTTTCTTATTTGTTTAGATATTGGCATAAGCTATATATAAATCAAAATACATATTGTATTTGCCAATATATATTGAAAATAAATTTCAGTACATAACCGTATTAAAAATAATTGTACATATTTACTACAAAAAATTAAGACTTTAAAAAAAGTTTTCCATTGCTTGTTATATTGCATATTACATTTTGTTAAAATAATATGAAATTTTTATTCACGTAGCACATAGAGAAAAGTAAGCTTTAATTTGAAATTATGAAATTACGAAATAGTTAAATATTATAAGTTTATATAAACATTTATTTAATTTATTTGTCTTTAATTTTACTTATGTAATTTACGTATCTAAATCTTTTCACAATTACATTTCATTATTCATCCTAATTTCCATATTCATTATATTTGTATAGTATTATAAATTATAAATATTTTATATATTATAAATATTTTTATATAGTATGATAAATAAAAAGATGCAATGTATTGACAAATACAATATCCATATTTACCACTGTTCCAAAATAAAACAAAAATTTTATAAAATAAAACATTTAAAAAATATTATGATCATTTTAAATAACAGATTTTAAATAACAGATCAACCCTAAACAGATATATTCAGAAAGTTTTAATATGTAATTTAAAAATAACTTATGAAACATTACATGGATAAAAAGATAAAATTGCAAATGAGGACCACATAAAAGTGATCCTTTATTCTGTACATTTTTCTTTTTCACCAGTGATAATATTTTTGCTTTTCCATATCCCTGTTACAATCAATAATTTTATAGCAGCATACAATCTATTATTTTCTAGGAATCTGATTATAAAATTTTTAAAACACTATTCACTTATCGGTCGATGTAATCTTACATATTTACATATGTTGCGATACACATATGCATATTATGCAACCTATGGTGATATTATAGAAAATACATTACATATGCAGTATATTTTTTAAATGTAAAGATACGTTAACCAAACAACGATAGATACAAACGATAGACAAAAACACGCACAATAGTTTTAACATATGTATATGTATACATAAAGTAAAGCAAAATCTATATATACTATTCATTTTTTAATATCTTCAAAAGCGTGAGATTAGAAGAAAAAATTGTCAAACAAAAGTTACATGATATACAAGAGAGTACCGACGGTGGTAAAATTTCATTGTAGATTAAATTATTTCCGAAATAAAAAGTACATCTTTTTTATAAATTAAATCTTATAGTTTTATAATTTTAATCTGTAATATCTATTAAAACAAATATAATGCCTATGTCAAAAGATCATTCAAAATTAATGAAGATTGTGATAAAAATATATTAAAATGTATTGCAATATTGTAAGCTCTTAACTGATGATTCAGGTACAGGGTGTTACAGATACATACTAAGCAGTACAACGGGTTGCGTGGCAAATTTTGCATGGGTAGGCGCCCGGGGGTAGGCGCTTAACCTATGCAAAATTGCCGTGCAACCCATCATACTGCCTAGTATGTATCTGTAACACCCTGTACAATTGAGGTATATATTAAAACACATATTTACTATATTATAAACTCTTAAGTAGCAATTCATTTATATACAAGTAAGGAATCACAATCAAGTAAGTGAAGCATAATATTTATTATTAGAATATACTATATGATAAAAAGATTACCGTCACATATAATAATATTACTCCTGTGTATTACAAACATTTACTAGTTTTTTCTCTTATTTTTGAAGACATTAAAAATGGTAGTAGTTATATTGTCAAACCACATATATAATAATATAAGTACAATCAATAAAAAAACATCATTTATCATTTAAATAGGTACTATAGAATAAAATTAGAGCAGCATGTCTAAAAAGCTTGGCCATCCCACACTTAGAAAAAAACATAGTTAAAAACATTTCGCGAATACAAATATTAAATACATGATTAACTAGAAAAATCGTAATCACAATTAGTAAGTTTTACAAATTAATATAGAAGCTAATAAAAAATTATGCAACATAATTATAATCTTTATCCACCTTTAAATTTTCATAACTTGTGTCCTATATTTCCGTTGTATACATATGATATAATTTCATTCTGATAAAATTAATCTATAACAAACATTATAATTGTTATTTAATAAAATTTTGTATGAATTATGATCTTATTTACGAAAAAATATTTCTTTTTTCAAATTATTATCATATATATATAGGAGATTATAAAAGTATAATGAAAACTGAAAAGTTTATCTAGCTAATCTTTCAGTGCAGTTGGTTAATGTGCGTAAGCTTTATAATAATTTAAATAAGATTACATATAACGTTATTTACTGTTGAGTATTATCAGCATTATTTTGTTATGCATGAAAATGCATTAATGCAGCATTTTTTAAAATTTTGTCAAGAATTTTTTTACACTTTAACCATTAAAATTAAGACTGTATATTCCTATATAGAAATAAACTATAAATAAAAAATAAGAGGAAAATAAAATATACATAAATATAAAATTATTTCTTTCAAAATCTAAACTTGTATCTTGCAAGAGACAGAATTCTTATTGTATAAGGAACACTGCATTGACGCACGCAAAAAGTGCAATTATATATTTTATGTACCTTTTATCGTACAAACTCGCACTATATTATAATATTATGTAAATGTGTATATGTTAAAATAAATTGAAAATTAAAGAAATGTGTTAATATGTATTAAAATAATATAATACATATTTACGTGTATAATAATGCTAAAAGTTTCCTTTTATGGGTAGGAAATTAAAACAACGTGTTTGAGGGATTTTTATGATTTTAAAACAAGTATAAAAAAAGAATATATAGTTTCGCAAATTAATATAATTGAAAAAGAAAAAAACTTGAAAAAGAATATAATATCACTTCATTTTTTCAATTCATTATTTTTAAATAAAAAATAAGAGACCTGTAATATTAGAAAGAATTGCACTTCCTGGATGCATATTTACGTGCTAAAAATAATGTTTAAATCAACAATATTAAATATTTTAACTCAGTTAATCTATCTGTGCAAAATAAACATGAAAAGTACGATGACAGATTTTGGGCATACAACAAAAAAATACTAATAAATTTTACCACATGTCAAAACGTGGACGTTCCGTTTTTATATTCAGATGCTCTGCATACCTATCTGTCACATTCAAGTATTTTGAACGTAGGAGTGGTTGTAGTGGGTGTAGGAGAATTGTGTTTGCTTACACGATGATTCAATGATGTCTCTTGCACGTTCTCCAGATTTCCACATATCGCTCTTTTGTGGTTGGCCAATTTCTCTCGGTTCATGGGTGAGCCTAGAACCACCAGGGGCCATAACGCCAATCCGCATTACTCAAAAAATGTACATTTAAAGAATACGATTCTTCACAGAATGAAGAAGACTACGCGCAGACGTTAGTAAAGAGATTTGACATAAAAATATCTCACTGCATTGTTACTTTCTATTGAATTTGAGCTGCTCGCAATAATGAAAAAGGTTCAAGATTTCCCACTTGCAATAGGGATATGAAATAAAATCTTAATTAATATAACACTGGTGAATCTCTATATAAATAAAAATAATTATTTAACTATTCTACTCTTCTGTTTGCTTCTCAAAGCACTAAAATGCTTCTGGAGATTCTTAAAACTGCGTTTTGATCATGCTTAAGATATGCTATCAAATGTATCCCGCAATAAAATCTAAATTGACGTAAAATATGTTTCATGCATAAAGCGTTAATAGTGCATTTATGTGAATACATATTTTAATATAAAATAATTAAAAATTTAGAGAAATAAATATACACATATACAAAACATTTTTTTAAAGAGAAAAATTATAATCATTTTTATCCAAAATGTCAAAAACTGTTTGTTAGATCTCTCAATAAATATAATACATATTTAAAAAAAAGACATTTGGATTTAGCATTTCAGATCAAATCTTTGAAAATTATATGCTGTCCAAAATGAAGAAATTTGAAGCAGTAAAATGTTTTATATGCAGAAGATATAGAGAATTCATCCTTATTTTCAATACTTCAGATATAAAATTATATATACATATATTTATTTTTTTAATATAAAAATGTCGTACCTACTTTTCATTCGACTTATTTTCAAAGTTACATTTTCTCACCATATTAGTTGGACAAGCAATAAGATAAATATAAAATATAGTATATGCTGATGCAGAATCAGAAAAGACTTGAGCTATCAAAGAATGTACACAGACTTTTCTGGCATACATATAGATGTACAAATAAAAAATTATATACATAACAGCTATTATAATTATATATATTATATATATACAGGGTGGGGAAAAAGTATGGAAGCAAACAATTATTTCCGAAACTATTCATTTTTCGACAAAATGTCTTAGACATAATTTTTATGGTATGAA